GTGTGTGTGTGTGTGTGTGTGTGTGTGTGTGTGTGTGTGTGTATCAACATGCTAGTGTGGTTGTGATATCTCAAAATTATTAGAATAACTCACATTTCAACATGTCAACGAAAACGAAAACTCAAATTACCAATCATTTCCAATTGAGGCTCAAATCATAACCTGTTTTTGAGTACTTACTTATCATCTGGGAAACATAAAGAAGATGTGACTGGTGTATCACTCACAGGGTCTCTGGGATTATTGATATCAGGAAAACCCCACTAAATTCTTACTCTGAATGTAGTGAGAAGAAATACTTAACATTGTGCTGGGACATCCAGACAGGGCCCCTATGAGGGATGTGAGTGACCCCAGGAGGGCGCACAAGGGTTAAGAATCCCGTCTGAGCGGAGCCACGTGTTCACGCTGTCACCACCACAACCAAAGACTCAACTTCCCAACCTCCCATCCATCCCCTCAGCCCTGGCCCTCCAGTTCCCATGTACGGGGTGTTACATCACTGGCACGGACTCCCACCTACCCGAGTGATGACGCAGCCCGTGGAGAGTGTGTGAGGAGGCGGAGGAGGAGGGAGGAGGAAGGTAGGGAGGGAGGGAGGGGGAGAGAGAGGAGAGGAGAGGAGAGGGTGTCCCGTCTGCGCGGAGCTCAGACAGACAGCAGGGAACAGCTGCAGCAGTAGGTTCGACTAGGATTTCACTGCATTGCGATTGAAAGTATCTGTCATTTCATCCGCCAGACTCACGCAGAGCAGCTCGGTCCAAGCAACCAAATATCAGTAAGAAAATGGTCGATCGCGAGCAGCTGGTGCAGAAAGCCAGGCTGGCTGAACAGGCTGAGAGATATGATGATATGGCAGCTGCTATGAAATCGGTAAGTCCATTCAAAGACGGCGACAATTCTGACAAATGTGTGTGTGTATGCGTGGATGTGTGTGTGTGTGTGTGTGATCCATGTTGTGCCACCGCTCCATCGCGTAAAGACGCACCTCGCCATCTCGACCTGTGCCGGCTGGGACTGTGCCACTGCACCGCGGCCAGGCACCGATGTCAAAATGATTTCACGTCTTTGCTTCGTTCTCCACAGCCCCCCCCCCCGCGCCCAGAGGTCACTGCCCCTCTTTCTCGGTCGGGTCCGAACCGTCCACTCTTTGGGCGGTGCCTTTCCGTGGCGCTCGGAGAAAAGGACGTTGCAATCAAATGCATGCAGGCCCGACTTCATCTTCCAGCTAATAAGAGCCTTGCAGCTCATAATGGTCCTCCTCTGTTGCATTAACCCCCCCCCCCCCCCCCCCCCCCCCCCCCCCCCCCCCCCTTCCCTCCCCACCTCCCCTTCCTCCATTATGCTGAATTTCTAAGAGCCTCTGCTGCTGGGATCCATGTGAGGCTGCTGGGAAAAAGCCTCCCGCTGCCTCCACCTTCTCCTCCTCCACCTGTCTTTGTCACAGAAATGACCACAATAAACTGTGCACGATTGCTTATTTCAACACCAGTGAGCGAGACTGCGAGGCATAATGCGAGAGCAAGAGAAAGGCTCCAGCAAGAAACGGCTTTTTTCTTTGAACCGGAGAAGGAGGCGGCAGCAGCATCCCTCTAGAATATTCTCTGTCGTACTGCAGTGAGTGGATTTGACGGTTTGTATTTCCAGGCCGTTCCTTTTCTGCCGTCTGGTCCCGTTTCTGTGGATGCACGTGCTGCCCGTGCCCGGCGTCCGGCGGCTTTTCGGAGCCGGTTTCGGGTTCATGAGGCTGATTAAATGCTGCAGTGTTTGACTTGAGAAGGGCCCACACGGCCGGCCTGTGTCAGCTTTCTCAGCTCTTATTGACCGCTGCTGAGGAAAGAGCCTTTGTCTGCTTTTCTTCCCCCTTCCCCCCCACCCTCCCTCATGTGTCTCTAGCCCCCCTAAATAAATGGTGTGACTGGACGCACCGGTGGGTTGAGAAAAAAAAAAGGAGAAAAAAAGTGCTGTGTCATACTAACCCGCGATGGAACCAGCAGCATCCCTGGAAGCTTTTGCTCACGCCTAGATAGAAAAGCAGCGTTTTGAGCGAGGATCATTGGGTCTTATGGTCTTCGGGGGGAGGCTGAGTGAGCTCAGACCGATCGTTTGTCATCGAGGGGGTTTGTGGTCGCAGGAGGTGGGATGGTGAGCCAGTCGGGAGGAGTTCCGATCTGCCATGTCAGTGCAGGCCAGCCGGGGCCCTTCAGCAGGGGTGTGTACGCTCAGCCTGTAATCAAAGGGAATCCCTTTGCCATTGCAGCTAGTAATGACAAACGAGAGGCTGCCACTCTCGCATTCCTCATGAAAAATGGACGTGGAAAAGCTAGTGCTGCACTTCATTATTATTCATTTAAGAAACTCCCATCGCGCGTTTCCAGAAACCAAAGCATCTTCACTCACTGTCATCATATTGTTTTAGGAAGAGACACCAAAGATTATCATTTGGCTGAAACCCAATCTGTTAAAATAACTGATCTCTTGCCCACCCCCCAGCACTTTATGTAGTGTTCAGAATAATGTCAGTGATCTCCGACAGTCCAGCCGTTCGGTACATAGGAATCTTCTTCGCGTGGCTGTAAATGATGACTTCAGATGGAATCACAGGGTGTGGGACTTGTTTTTTTATTTCCACCGTTTGCTTTGAGCCATCCTCTCTATAAACCGGGCAAAATGTCATCAGCACAGTTTTCCTGCTTCTCCGACTGAGATGAGACTCATTGGCAGCTTTTCAGAAACCAACCCCAAGGATAAGTAACTCAGCTGGAAGTTGAGGTGAAACGTTCTGCTGGACACAGACCTGATTTTCCCTTTGGGGCGCGAGCACGCAGGGCACCCATCCAGTGGACTAACCCCGAGTAATACGGCCTTTTTATAGACCCAGAGTCTCCTTAATGACCGTGCAGCTATTATCCTGATCGGTTCACATCTAAATTTATCGGCCCAACACAGAGTGATGTCACAGCGTGGTTTAAACAGGTAAAAAGGTCAGGAGGGGCCGGAGAGAAGGTCAGGAGGACACGTGGACGGCCGGTGCAGTGATGGTTTTCACTTACACGGCAGCTGCCTCCGGGTGCCGGTGGGAATACTTCAGCCGTCTCCATCCCTCCCTCCCCAACCCCCTCACCCGCCTGCCAACTATCTTGAATATCATTTCTCACTAACTGGCATCAGCGGCACACGTGGCAGCTGGAGCCACTGGTGCAATAAATTAATGGATCGCCATGGAAACTGGGAATCGCACATGACAAGTGAAATATCGTTCGTCCTCTTTGCAGTAGATGGCACTGCTTGAAAAAGTGGATTGGAAAAAGACAGGAGGGGGGGGGGGAAGAAGGAAATAAGACTGAGTCTTCAGTTTAAGTTACAGGTTTCCACTTTCTAAGATAAAAAAAGAGGAACAGCTACATTTACAGTAGTTGTAAGCGGGTCTGATGGTAGATTCTGTTTTACTTGTATTTTCTGTGAGAGGTGTCGGGTGGTGTCTGAACAGTGTGTGCTCTCCCCCTCCTAGGTGACAGAGTTGAACGAGGCCTTGTCCAACGAGGAGAGGAACCTCTTGTCCGTCGCCTACAAGAACGTGGTGGGCGCCCGGCGCTCCTCCTGGAGGGTGATCTCCAGCATCGAGCAGAAGACCTCCGCCGACGGCAACGAGAAGAAGATCGAAATGGTCCGGGCCTACCGGGAGAAGATCGAGAAGGAGCTGGAGGCCGTGTGCCAGGACGTGCTCAACCTCCTGGACAACTTCCTGATCAAGAACTGCAGCGAGACGCAGCACGAGAGCAAGGTCTTCTACCTGAAGATGAAGGGCGACTACTACCGGTACCTGGCCGAGGTGGCCACGGGCGAGAAGAGGGCCACGGTGGTGGAGTCGTCGGAGAAGGCCTACAACGAGGCTCACGAGATCAGCAAAGAGCACATGCAGCCCACCCACCCCATCCGCCTGGGCCTGGCCCTCAACTACTCTGTGTTTTACTACGAGATCCAGAACGCCCCGGAGCAGGCCTGCCATCTGGCCAAGACCGCCTTCGACGACGCCATCGCCGAGCTGGACACCCTCAACGAGGACTCCTACAAAGACTCCACTCTCATCATGCAGCTGCTCCGAGACAACTTGACACTGTGGACAAGTGACCAGCAGGATGACGAGGGAGGGGAGGGCAACAATTAAAAGAGAGGCCACACTTCTAAAATTTAAAAAAAAATTACGAAGGGCCGGTGGACTTTGGCAGCCGCTTTTGCCGATGATACTACCGCAGCAGCAGTTCTTTATTTTTCCATGTGTTAAAAGATACGAATCAAAAGAGAGGTGAGAGGGGAGGTTAAATCTTAGTTTAAATATATATAGAAATATATATACGGTTGAAAGGGGGCCTCCGTCTTCTTGATTTTCTCTTTGACATTTGCCAAAACCACTGATATGTCAGTCAATCAGCCTGAAGTGGTTGTTGTTGGATTGAAATGGCAGCCTCAAACAGGCATAGGAACTGGTCTTGCTCTGGCAAGATAAGCTGCTTACTTAGGTTTTTGCGTGATAGAGATGCATCTGAGTCACTTGAGAGAGAAAATGTTTGAATGGGAATGCCTCACCAAACTAGTTTGCATTGGTTCCAGTAGTACTCTATATATGAGAGACAGAGCCCTGAAAGCCATTAATGATATATTCACACTAACAAAAGAGAACGTTTTAAACCAGTAAACACCCCGTTTCCCAATTTTAGAGGTTAAATTACACAGGAGGGAAAAAACTAAGGACTGGATGGACTAATTGAATTGCCCTCCTTCTGTCTAATGTGTATTTGGCATCTCACAGATCGTATGTCACTGGAACCATCAGTTCTTTTGGAAGTAAAGAATACTAAAGGAAGAGACTTAAAAGTGAATTAAAAAATGACAAAAAAAATAAAATAAAAGCAGCTTCAGAGTTTGTGGTTTACTTCTGTGTTTGTTTTATTAAATGCACTTGCCTACTATACTGTTTCTTCAGTGTAAGATGATGACAATAATATCGATTATTCAGTATTGTGCATGCTGGTGATGTATTTATATACAGTAGCTTGACTTTATTAACTTAAACTGTGGGTGTTAAGTATTCATATGAATGAGAAAAACCGGCTTTGTCTGATGTTGATTTCTAACTTATTTCATTTTGTTATGGTTTTTCAGTTGCTATACCAAAATGGTGATCGTAAAAATTGACCTGTAATGGGCTTTGCTATAGTGACATGCAATATGTGTATTTTAATTTGTTAATATAAGAAAAAAAAAGGACGATAAAAAAAAACCCACCAGTGCTCACTTAATCTTACCAGCTGGTGTTTGTCACATTGAAGTATGATTATGATATATTTTGTTCTTTGAACAGTATTTAAATACTTTTTTCTGTCATGCTATATCCAGTTTGAATAATGGTGAAGTTTCCAGGCTCAGTGTTTCTGTTATGAATTCACAAACATGGACCATATTTTATTTCTGACAGTCTAATTTTTTGGGGTTTGTTTTTATACCTTTTAGCTGTTCCTGAGTGACAAAATATCTTGAATGTGAGTCATTATGTAGCAGTTGCACAAGAACCGAAATAATAGCTATGATAATAAAAAAGAATATGACTAAATTATACATGCACCATTTCTGTGGTGGTCTAGTGTATTGTTGTACTGTCACCCATGAGATTATTTGGTTTGAAAGAAAACCACTTCACGGAACGTTTTTAAGGCTTTCTTTGTTTTTGCCTCATTTGAAAGTTACACTTTAATGGGAAAAAATGAGTTGATCTACCAGTTTAAGTTCCTACAATGTGTGCGAGATGTAACCATGTCCCCTAAGTGGTCCCCGGCTTGTCCGGCCTGTACAGTGATGTGGATATCCAACACCAACGCACAGCACTACAGTCAGAGGGAGAGCACAGATAATTCAGTTTACTTTATGAATGATTAGTGACAAACCTTCTAGAGCACAACTGCTGGATGGCTTTATCGATGTGATGCTGCTACTTATATCCATTATGAATATGTTATTTTTCTTAATACATGGCAGTCTTGGTGGTTTAATTTCTTATTTCAGATGTGATGGCTAAAGAGAGAAACCAAAAGCCTTAAGGTCGGCCACACAACCTTTCTCATGTATGCCAATTATGTCACCATCATGAGTCAGCCTCCACGAACTCACAGTATGTCACAGCTGCTTTGATTTATTTTTAACAATGTGAAGGGTTAACGGTCTCAACGCTTCACCGGACAAACTAACACTCACACAGCTTATAGATAGGATTTTCTCATTAACTTTCAAGTTTTGCGTGGAGAAAAATCACTTTTTTTTTTGCTTGACTGTTTTTGAAAAGTCAGACTTTCATTCATTGCCAAGAATACACACATTGTGTTCCTTTTTTAATCATTTATGTTATTTTTTTTTCGCTGCAGTTTGTGTATTATGCTTTAAGTTTTCATTGTTTTAGAAGTAAATCCTTGTTTCTGTGACACAACAGCATGCACATACAAGCTTTGAGGAAACAAACAGAAAAAAGGATTTAGTCTGAATCTTGAATTAGATCAGAGAGGAACTGACCAAATGGAAAATAGTAAGCAAAAATGTGTGCTCTGGGAATCTTTTTTGGTTGCCATTATTTGCCCATTAAAGTTATTTGTTTATTGTAATTTTCTACATTTTCCTTTTTGTCTGTAGCGTTACCGAACAGTTTCATATCAGAACCATCACGGGTCATTTTCAATCAGCGACTTCAGATATTTTTGACCAGCTGATATTGAATGTCAGCAAAACTTTACATAACCCCCCCGTGGATCATGTAACGTGTGTGTGTGCCTGAGCGTGGCTGATCCATATCTAGGTGTGTGCTGTATGTATAGCATGTCTCTGCTGTGTGTGCTGAGCGTGTGTGAGAGAACATGGAAGATGGAGTCTGTGAGCTGCAGTGCAGAGACTCTGCCAGCTCCCACAGCTTCCAGAAGGCCACCTTGACAATCATTAACTAAAACAAAGCATGGATCAAAGAATATGTCTGAAACGATAGCAGGTTTTTATCATCCCGGCTGAAGAGCGGTGCACCTCCACAGTATCCTCCGTGTCAGCATCTTTAGCAGCATCCTCTCCTCAGCTTTCAAACACACACGTGTAAAGGTTCGGTTTCTCTTAGCTGACGTTCAAATCTGTGCATTTGAAAATGGGAGGTACGCCCCTGCGCTGATTGATGAGCTGAAGTGGAAAGCTGTTGGATCCCCCACCCTCAGACTGCAGCCTCTTGCTGCAGCTTGCTGCACTGAACCTTTCATGAGATGAAATTCTGTGCTTTGAAATGTCCTCCTCGCCAACCAATGGCTGACAGGCTCCTTCTCCGCAGCCACCAATCCCAGTCCTGTTGCTAGGGCTATAATAAGTACCCCCCCCCCCCCATCACCCCAGCCCCTTGCTGCACTGCTAAGACACCTATTGCATCCTGTAAAAAAAAAAAGAAAAAAAGAGAGAGCTCAAAGCACACAGGAGATATCAGGATTCAGCTCCATCCGATCTTCATGCTGGTGTTTTAATGCACTGCAACACTTTCAGGCACGCCGGCATCACGTTTATGGGGAATTCTGGTGCAATTATGCATCTCAAAACACTCAGGAGCCTCGTGATGGACGCACAATTGAATTTTCAGCTGCTGGTAATTCAATTTAGAGGCAAATTGTTTTGAATTGGACTAAAACTAAACCGATTTTTGTGATGGAATAGAATAGTTTACAGTTTTCACTGCAGATCAGACATCCATGCAGTATTTATACACTTAAAATTTTGATTTTTCTCTGGTTTAATCAACATACATCCACTGAAAAGATCATTTAAAAAAGGATTTAATCTACAGGACACAGAGAAGTGTATCGTCTGCATCACTTCCATCGGTACAGTCGAACTGCTTTACCTGTCATCACATAAAGGGAGTCCAGGATGACAAAGCACAAGTTATCCTTGAGGCATGTCACCAGCAGGGCATATGTCCTCTAAATCACTGGGTTCAGTTCTTTGCTGGCATCAGACGATGGCCACTGCATCTTTGATGCAAAACTCCCGGTGACATAACAGAATGCAGAAAGAACATCTTTGATGAGGCATTAAAAATAAACTGTGTGTGTATTTAAGATAAAACAGGCAGGTTATTTTTGTACTCTGTGAATTTTGTGAACTGTTTCATGTTTGTTGAAAGGTAGCTGGGTACATACTGCCCTCATTTTTAGATAAAAATGGTTAACCCCAGTCCAAAAACCTTGGCTTTTCATTGGCTCTTGTTGAGCTGCAAACAAATATATATATACACATATATACAATATGATAATAGTTATAGTTTACTTATCCCTTTTTGACATTAAGTTGACTTGACATGCTTTAAATTATGATCCCATTGATAGCTGCAAGGAGCTGGTTAAAAAAATATTTGGCAGAAAAAAGACTCACATAAACTTTTTCTCAGAAAATAATAATAAGTCTGTAAATTATTACAATCATCATTATGTTGTCACAGTCAAGAATGAACGTCCTCTCATATTCCACCATCATCAAGAAAATAATGTCATACCTAAATGACGAGCCAAAGTGGGGAGAAGAAAAATGTTTCTTGACGACCACCAGATTCTAATTAGTTTCCATTGGTCACCTAGACGTGGCAGTGGGAATAACTTAAACATTTTGGCAATGCATTTGTGTGAAATTGGAAGACGATAACCAAACTGAGGTCAAATCTTAAACTCGACCTACAAAATCTATCACAAAAACTTTAAACATGTTCTATTGACCAACTGCAACCATTTGTAATTGGTCACAAAATATCGCCCAGTAGGAGGGCTTGCAAAACTTTAACAATGGATTTGGTTTTGCTTTTTTTTTCTTAAATATCGTTCAGGCTTTTCTAAGCTTTTGCAAGTCACAGTTCTTTATATGAGCAGTCTCTGGCAATAAGTTCACATTTCCTAATTGTATATAATGGATATAGGATCAGGGTTATCTGTAGACATCAGTTGTTCTTTCTTAAGTTGAGAAAACAAACCTTAATTCGGTCAATTTTCTCAGGGTTCTCAGAGAAATCCAAATCCAAATCACAAAAACAACAAAGCAGAGTGTGATGTGTTGTGATGGTGCTTTTTAAGTGATTTTGATCATTGGACATGGCTCATCTCCTTTGGGATAAATTCAATTACTTATGTCCCAACTCTGTGCATACAAACATTTCCAAGGGCATATCTGTATCAAAAGGTTGTGCAGGCAGTAGCAATGAAGAAGTAAAAAGCCATTGAACTTAGATAAAAGTGCATACACAAGAGAGATGCTTTATGCTTTATGTTCTTTGGTGCAATACAACTCATTTGTTTTGTTGTGACTTTGTTCTAGCAATGATAAAAATGAGCCATGTCTTGCTATCCACAATGTCTTGCTTGTAAACAGCCTTAATCTTCAGCTGGCCCATCCATCCTGATCTGAACCAGAAGGCTGTCATGGCCAGTTTTAGGGTGCCCGGCACTAAGTGTCAGCACCTAGCAAATAGCTCAGACTGACTCACAAGTAATTAACACTCGACTGAACGAAAACGTGGAGAAAAACTGATGGTGTCATGAGTTTCTGGAGCTGGAAGCTGAAACCTGCAACTCATGAAATCTCTCAAGTCATGACCAGATGTTTGGAATGAAACCCCTGGATCTCTGCTGGACAGCTCCGCTGGGCTTTGGTACCAGTGCGTGATTACTCCACCGCATATTTCTGAAGAGACCCCAATGCAGGCGCATCGGGTTTTAGAACTTTAAGATCAAAGTCAACATGATCTACACCTCAAAGATACAGAGAAGATACTAAATGCACATTTCCAGAAATATCCCCCCATTAGAGGCAGGGAAGAAGGGAAAAAAGAGAGATGGAGAGAAAGAGAGAACCGAGAACAGAGACCGATCTATAAATAGGTTTCCCTGCAGCCTAAGAGTAGACAGTGAGTAGACCAGAGACATCAATGTGACAGCCTCTCTTCTATAGACACTATGTGCCGCTGTATGGACGGCGAGAGTTCATGTCTCCAGTCAAAAAAAGCCTTATTCATCACTTTTCCTCACAGCTCTGTAAACACATGAAATCATATCAAATTACTCAAGCGACTGGCTGCTACCTTCTGTTTTTGTTGGTCAATTCAATTGTGTTCTTTCAGCTTTTCTCGCAGTGTGACACTGTGATAAGACAGAGGGCTGAGGACTTTTTCTGGCACAAAGAAAGCTCTTATGCATGACTGCCTCGAAATTCATTATTCAGGCTAACATTTAGTCTCTGTATTATTTATCAAAAACTGCCACAACGCTCAGATGAGGGGCTTCAAAATGCTATTTCAGAGAATACTCCTCCCCAAAAACTCCAGGATATGTTGCATCTCCATCTGGCTGCTGCGCACAAAATTTTGCTTTGCTCTGCTGCCATCTTTTTCCCCCCATTTCCATATGTAGTTATTCATCCCTACAAAAACCTGTGTGATGAGCAGAGGCTCGATAAGGTGAGTCTAAAATTAAGTCTTCCCACCCTTTCCTCGGTTACATCATTCCACACATTCTTTCAAAGGCTCACTTTTCAGCAAATCCACCACAAGTGTGCTGAAAAGTGATTATTTAGACCAATAATCTCTTATCCTCACTGAGTTTTACGTTCCAAGAATAATGTAAAAATGAATGAATTCCAGCTAATGGCCTCTATGTGAACTGTGACCAGTAATGCAAAAAGAAGATCTTCTGGTCAAAGGAGGTGAAACAGGAGGAGATGGCCTTTGTGACCTTTCTGTGTCACCTCCTTTGACAGAACACTGATCGTGAGGGAGTCTGCAGTCAGGAGGCTGCACACAGTCAAACAGTTTTGCAACCATTGCTGATTTTGGTGGAAATATTAGAGAGACGTTTTCTTTTTAAGCTGAAGCTTTTAAAATTCTATATCAGCTTTATTTTACACCCAACAAAGGCTTCCTGTGATTAGCTACCGCTGACTGCAATGTAATGTAACTGGCTTTTACTAACAGAAGTGCTGAATTTAAAGAAAGTTTCCTAGAAAAACACTGGACTAAAGAAAGCTGTCACGGGGGGTTTGAAGGCTACTGTATTCCTGGCCATGGCCCTGAGTGTCGGATCCCTTTCACGCTGTGCTTTAGAAGTTAACTCCCCAGGTGCCAAGTGGTTGACAAATTACACCCTAAATTGTTTTGCGGTTTCGCCGGCTGATATCTGAGACGGTGACTCATTACGTATGTAGACACAGGGGATTCCCCCACAGTGACACGAAAAGGTAGGGGAAAAAGTAAGGAAAATCTTAATGCACTTGGTGCAGACCAGAGCTGATGTTAAGATCAACCAAAGAGCAGGAGTGGCCGGTTCAGAGGTCAGCAGGGCCAGTGACAAGGAGCTGGCTGAGGCTGAGGAGGTGAAATGTAGTGTGGCCACAGCAAATGAGGGTCATCACGGAGAGCCAAAGATTAGCGTTTAGCCGAGTGCCGAGGCCGAACTGGTTGGCTCTGCCTGAGGAAACTAACTGAGGGAGTCTGGGTGTGGCAGCAGATGCTGAAGCAAAGTTTCCCCTGACCACAGATGAAACAATGACACCACAGTTACAGTCCTGGAATAAAGAGCCCATTATGCATCTCAAATGCAGCAGAATAGAAAAGAACAGGGCAGGATGTTGCTTGGCTGTGGGAGTTAAAGAAAAAGCGCGGCCATACAGTGAGGGTACTACTCTGTATGAACGCTGTATTGTGCTGTTGCATGGCAACTGTTTCCACAGAAATCTTTGCTCAGAAGCACTCCACTTTGGTCGTCACATAACTGCAGCCAGCAGAAAAATGGGCGGACTGCTGGAATACAAATGAGCCATTTCAGCTTGCAAAAGCTAAAGAGGTGTTTATGTTTCCCTTAAATCAGATTTACATGAGGGCATGAAATCAAACAAGGAGTTTTCTCTTAACTTCACACTGTAAAGCTTCATTGTTATGTGATCTACACACACAAAAGACTAAACCCTTTGTGCTGTGTATGAAGCCAGAAGAAAAAACTACTTGATTCTTTTTCTAAATGTGCTAATGTCTGTGTATTTAATATTCATTACGTTAGAATAACCATTTTGCCTCATAACTCATTGATTACTTACCTGGTGTGTATATGGTGAGTGTAGAAAATGGATGGCTGGATGTAATCCTGCTGAGGTTACAGGCAGGCCGAAGCATGTTTGAGGTCTTACAGGGCAAGAGGCTCATTTTGATATATTTCTAAACCTAATGAAATATTAACAGTTCCCATATCTTCATATTTTCCATATATAGACCACTGCTGTCTCACATCATCAGAGGAATTGTTCCACCTACTACACACACCACTAGAGAAAACTTCAGCCCACTCGACCCCCAGAAAGCCCTGCCTTACTAAAACACCTCTTTCAACAAACCCTGCAATTTTGAGAGAGTATGATGTGACAGTAAATCCTGGAACTGCACTGGATGAAAATCCTTATAGTAAAAAAAAATGTCACAGCGAATGGAGACTGATGCTACTCAGAGTATTAAGTTGAAGAAATATGAATGTCATTAAATATATACTTGCATTAGTATTATCATAGTAATAGCATTATAATATCATTAATATATAGTATGATATAATAGGATCATCACTTTTCATTATGAATGAGCTTAATATATATATAAATATATATATATAGGTTTATGGGATAACTAATCCCATGGATGAAAATGCAAAAAAACACCAAAAAAAAACATTATTTTTATTGTCTTATTTTTATATGAATTACTAATTTCATGTTCCGCAAATATTTTCAAAGAAACACAACTATCCCAAAACATGTAAATTTAACATCATGAAGTAAAATAAGATTTTGTTGTGAGCATTAGAGCAGAGTTCTCAAAGCTCTTGTTTGGAGGCACAAAGTGGATGATTGCTATGGAGCTCTTCACCAGCAGCACAACGCTGCTGCCCTCCTCTGTTCTGAACACAGAAATGCATTCAAAGAGGATTTAGGCTTAAAAACTGTTCAATGAAAATACAGTGGACGCGTGTGCATTTGACCCTGAGTTGAAGCAGTATTTTAAAACTAATGGAATTGAAATATTCTAATTGTATGTTATATTTCCCTTCTGAAAAATTACAGATGTATTCATTTGGGCTTTGATGAGGCTAAAGGCAGTAGATATGTCTGCAATGCTGCCATCTAATGTTTCATTTGATAAACTACGCTGCTGTGGTTTGGCATCAAACAAAATATCATGAGCAGTCTGTTGGAGAATTGTGTTTTTTATTTTCAGGGAAATCCAAAAATATGCTTTTTTTGTAGTTCATCTGAGCTAATCAACAGACTTTAAATTCACTGACAGTAATTTCACAATAATGCCAGCTGCAACAAATATTAACAGACAATAAGTTCAGTGCATGGGGTGACATCTAACCTCGCTATCAAACACTTTCTTAATCTAAAGCACAATACATCTACAAAGTAATAAATAGTTAATCCTCAAAATGTTCAGCACAAAAGTGAAAAATGACTCAGCACGTAATCACAAGAACGATGTAAAAGATGAGTGAGAAAAAGACACGATGAAAGGTACAAAATATACTTTTTTTTGCACACACACACACACATACATGCATACACGAACACACACAGACACACCCCGGCAGCTACAGGCGTGTTACTTTAGTCCGCGCTCTCTGAGAATGCTTCGTCTTCATACAGGTCCTCCAGCTCTCCCTCTCTGCTCCCCTCTCTGCTCACCTTCCTGTGGGCAACAAACGCTGGGTGAAGGTACCGAGTGAGACTTCAGATGGAGACCAGCAGGAGGAGGAGACACTAGACTAGAAATGTAAAGGGATTGCATGTCCTTCCCAGCACAGCTCATCACATTTTCGTCCCCGTCCCCCTCAAGAGGACACGATAGAAGACAGGAGAGCCACCGGCCGCCTTCTGGTCCAGGCACAGCCCAGAGCTTTGTTTGGTCTCGTCCATCTCAAATCCTCTTAAGGTCGAACAAACAACTGATGAGCTGTGCTAAGTCAGAGGCAGTGCGAGCTCAGCCTACGTGCTTTTTTTTTAACGATTTACCTCAAGGAAGGATGAAGCAAAGGCGAAGACCCCAGTAAGCCCCAAGCACCGCTGCAAGAAGATGTGATATAAGAAGCTGGGGTTTACACTCTGTCAGCCAGCAACACACTTTATCATACACACATTCTTTTCTTAAGACACCTGAAGGACGATGAGTTAAGAGTTATATGAGCAAAATGATCGATGTTGCCTGAGTGAAGGGGAGGTAAACTTCAAACCTCTCTCCATAAACCAAAATCACTTCCAGTGGCTGATTGTTGGTTTTTGCAGGATATTGAACGAATAAGATGTTGATACATAAGACGTTCCTCTGTGAGCTGCTGTTAGGCATCAGGTGTTTGCAGAGTTCAACAAGCTACTTCCTTTTTCATTTCATTTTTCGTTTCATTTAGGGGTCAACCAACATTTTGACAAAGTTTAACACGTCGAAAAAACGAGTGGCTCTTCTGATAAAACTACAGGGAGACAGCCAAATGCCATTTTACAACATGTTTGCTGGCAGGTGAGGAAATAACAGTTATAGTGTATAAAAAGGAGAAATAAAACTAAATGACAAAAATAAAAAGGTAAGCGACTCAAAATATATATTTGACGCTGAACTTTTAGGGTCTATAAGGAAATTCAGTTTGACCTGGAACACAGTGCCATTATACCTCATCCCTCCCAGAAGATCAAAATAAAGCATCTTGATCTTCTGTAAGCCAGTTAAAACATGTATCCAGACCTTTTAAACCTTTCAAATAACCTTTTTAACGCTCATAACAGAAACAGCCCTTTCCCACTTAAACATCCCGCCTCTGTGGATGTGTTTGGTAGAGTAGGAGAGCTAAAATACAGCTGGTAGACAGGTAAATACGGAGGAGGAAGAGGTCGTAGCAGCAGCTCCACATCCCCTCACACAGAGGTGGAATTAGCTGTGCCCCCCATAGGCAAAAAGGGCTTGTTAATGCAAAACAAAAGCATCAAAACTTTTCCGGGTTAAGACAGGACAGACGCTTTTATCGGGGTGTTCTGCGTCTGATGGCTGAAACAATAAATACAGCATCAGAGGTTGTCAGGATTCAAATAAATAATGACCAGACATGTAAGACGTGAGAGACGCCCTACGCGCAGAGTGTGGGACTGATCTATTTTTAATCCAAGCGGCGGGCCGTTGTGTTGTCGGAGGCCTAATCGCAGAGCTGGCAGCCTGGCAGAGCAAGCGGACGGGATTTGCCGAGTAGGCTACTTACGTAAGAAGACCTCCGGGGGCAGACATGGACCTCTCCGCCCGTCTGCCCTGATACTCGAAGGGATTACTGAAAGACCGCTTCCTTAGCATTGACTTCACAAGAATCTACAGTGGACATCAGACATAATCTCAGTTAAAAACATCACATATTTTCATTAGACTAGCAAACATAACGTACATTCTGAATGTGTCATTTGTTTTTTAAATACCACATTTTGTCAAAATTCCCATCTATTTGTCTTTCTTTATTCTGATCCACTATCAGACTGTTAAGTCATTTCCCACCCATGTTGCATTTCACTAATATTACACACTTATTACTTAAATGGAGCTTATTCAGACAACCTATAACCCACATTTCGCACTGGTGTTCTACATTTAAGTGTTCATTTGAGTCCAACGAATTGGATAAAAGCCGAACAAAGATTTCAGGAGAAAGTCTGACGTAATCAGCTGAAAGAGAAGTAAATATTACACCAGAAACCTCAGGAAGGCCCGTGTGGGACTCACCACAGCGGAGAGGCTGGGGATGAGCTTAACGCTGTTCTGCACCTCCTCGTCGGTGACCTCCACCGCCTGGCAGTGCTCCTCCTCCAGAGGGAGAGGATTGGAGCCGTTCTCCGTCACCCACGGGTGGAGCTGCGAAGGGAACGCTGACGCATGAACACGTTCGTTGTGAAGGAAAAAAAAACAAGCCTCCTTTTGTCTCCCCTCTCTCACCTTTACTTCAGGAATCGTGATTCTTTTTCCAGGGTCTTTATCCAGCATCTTTTCGATGAGATCTTTCAAATCGTTACTTATGGAGGGCCTGTTATAGAAGAGAGAAACATGGGATTTTTGGAGAATTTTTTTTTTATGCCCTGGTCTCATTCAAACATGATGAACACATGAGCACAAGTTATTTTCCACAAGATGTCACTTATGAAGAAATCATTTGAGTGATCTAAAGTTTGGCTGGAGTTGCTCATGTAGCAAGAAAATCTGCTTCCAGATGTTACCATCTGGCTAACGTATCCTAGAGACCAAAGGTATGTGGAGCTGTAACTATTGAAAAAAAGAGAGATGAAACAAGGAAAAATGCAATTATAGAAAATAACTGAAAATAAAAACATTATAAAATCTTAATTAGCCTCTAAATAAAAATGTTCTAACTATTGTCTGAATCCATACAGGCACTTTGGGTCTGACACACAACAGCTCTCAATGTTTATCGTCATAATTAGAATTTCTGTGTAAATGTCTCCGACGTGCTTGCTTACGTCTCTGGAAACTCCACCGGTTTGTTCTTGATCTTGTTGTGCAGAGAGACAATGTACTCGTCGTAAAAAGGGCACTGGAGCAGGACAAAAGGGTCAAATAGTTAATAGCCTCAGTGCCGGGCTGTCCTTTAAATGCTTCTGCACCCTGCTGGGAGCTTACCTTCCCAAAGACAAAACAGTAGAGCGTGACTCCGATGGCCCACACGTCCACGGCCTGTGAACGGCACACGGGTGTTACAGAGTGTGTTCGGCCCCTGTGACTGGACGCCTGGACACGGGCGCCTCACCTTTCCGCTGAAGCTCTGCTGGTCTTCGCTCATCATCTCAGGGGCCATGAAGGCCGGTGTCCCCGCCGTGCTGGACAGCATGGCGTCCGTGCCTTCGAACTCGTTGCTCACCCCGAAATCTGCAATCTTGACGTGGCCGTCGTCCCCCAGCAGCAGGTTTGAGGGTTTGATGTCTCTGTGGATGATTTTATGGTAGTGCACTTCACACACACACAAAGAGACAAAGAAGGCGTTGAGACGGTGTTGGCGAAACAAAAACAGCATCTCTGTCTGCAGTCTGTCCAAAGATTCTGTCATATGAAAAGGCTTTATTCTGTCTGACTGGCTGCGTATTCCTAAAAAGGAGCTGAGCCTGTAAGAAGCCCTCGTGGAGTCTTGATGACTTCAACTGGTAATGAAAACATGATGCATATGTAAAACACATTTCCACATGAGATAAATAACTAAGCCAGACTCTTTCCGTTTCATATTGAACCTAATGAATATGAACTAAAAGTACTCACAGATGACTGATTACCACTGTTTTTGTTCACAAGAACTATATTTTTGGGTTACGTGTGCAAATAAACTTGATTTTTACAGTGTTTTCTATCATGACGATAAAAGTTTGGATATTTCTAAAGGACCTCCAGCTACATCCAGTTCTGATTATCAAGCAACCTGTTCTTTAGATAAACATATTCTGAACATCAGAAGTCTTGTAACTTACGGTACTCTATTCCCAGGACAACATCTCTGAAGTAAAAGCGGGCCTGCTCCTCCGTTAGGGGGTTTTCTGTGGGAACCTCCATCACCGCCCTGATCAGTGAGAGGCAACATAAGAATATGGACTCATCACTGTATCTCGTAAAATATTCCCACATTTCAATAATCCACATAAACATACCCTTTTGTCATCAGTTCGAAGGCTTGATGACAAGAAATTACATTTTAGTGGCATGCTACTAAAGTACTGAGTCAATGTTGCAGACAGATGTGTGACCTCCTACCCATGTGAAGTCCATCTTCATCCGGGTCGTCGAGCACCTGCAAGACACAGGACGATTTTCTAGTCACCCGTCTTGATATTTCAAGAAACCATTGGCAGACATTTTTCGAGAATATTTAAATGTTTTTTTTTTGCGTGTATTCTATGACTACATCTTCGGCATTCAATTATACTCTTTAGTTATGACTATGTGTTGGAGGTTCTTTGGTTTAACGCTCAGGCTCACTGACCTCCACCAGTTTGACCACGTTGTTATGGTCCAGCTTCTTGAGGATGGCGATCTCCCTGTACACTCTCTCCAGAGGTAGCGAGGCTTTGGTGATCAGGTCCTGCTGGTTGTTTGATCCTGCAGGAGGCAGGCGGCCTGCACATAAAAACCATGTCATCCACCCCCCCACACCCCAGGGCTCGGACAGGAGAAACCTTTTGGGACGTTTAACCGATACTCACGCAAAAACCCGCACAGGCGCAAAAGCCTCTTCTTTGAAACTACTTTCATTGCCTAAAAAAACAAAGTGAAATTGATTATTTTCATAGAAACAAACTCACAGAGACAATCAAATGTGGCTTTAACTTACATAGTACTGTTCAGAATCTTCATTGTAGGCCAATTTAACCACTCCGTATGAACCCTGGAGCAGAAAGGCAGATAGTTATACCTCACAGCTCATATGTAAGAACAGTTTCGATCATGCTGATTGATCACCTTTCCAATCTCATTCTTCAGCTTGTACTGGTTAAGCTGGAGACAGTCCTACGAGAAATTAAAGGGGAGAACGTGAGCGTCTCTCAAACGTGGAGCTGAGTTATACAGATATTTGTCACTCCTCAGAGCAGAAGTCCTCACGTCTGCATCTGTGATGGACACCCTTTTGGTCTCGATGGTGGGCTGCCGGGCCATGCGGCTGCCCCTCTCCTGCAGGGACATCTTGCGGTCAGTGAGGCGAGCTCTCTGGCCGCTGGCGCTCCTCGGGGCCCCTGATCTGTAGCCGTTGGGCGGAGTCATGCGGCTGGCGGTCACGTCCATGGCCGCCACCATGTCGGCCAGCTCCCCGTGGTGCTCAGAGTCCAGCTCCGGCCGGTACGTGGCGTCGGTGCTCATGGTGGGTGGTCGCTGGGTCCCTCACTGCTGAACACCCCGCAAACCGTGAGGACACATCACTGCACTGAGATAGCAGGAGGCAGAAATGGACATGAGTGAAGGCAGAGACAGGAAACAGGACGACTCAATATGTGGTCAGAACTACATTAATTTACAAATAATTGGTCTATGCAATAAATCTATTATTGACACAGCAATACTGAGTTTTCTGTGAAAAATCTGAATACTTGTAAGAAATATTGTTGTTCTTTCTGACATTTTTGTCAGGACAGATAAAAAAAATAATAGTAAAAATAATTACGATATAAGATAAGATACATTAAGATACATGTAAGAGGATGCCCAGCATTATCTGCTCTTTATTTCAGGGAAAATCTCCTCTTGCATGTTCATGAGTTGGACTATTATTCTTATATAATGCAGTTCCCCGTCATTCTGTAAATAGTGGAAAGAAATGAATGCCTTATTATGGCCTCACATTATTGTCAGCAAGAGGTAAATAGGTCTACAAGGAAGGTACACTTTTTTTGTTTTCCTATTTCCTTTCTCTGTTCTGACATTTAAAAGCCAATAATACTGACCTGAATACCTGTTTTTGTTGTCAAGGCTTTTCCTCTCTGACTAAAATACGTCTGTCTCCTGGAGCTTTGCATAATGCCTGATTTTGAGAGCACACCCACTTCTTAAAAAAACAAAATAGAATAAAAAAACAGCTTTAGACAACCCAAACTGGTAGAGTCAAGTTGGTGTAACGTAGTGTTACCATCAACTGAATCAACTGAACAGCATCAGATGACAGCTCATGTATTGTGGAGCATAAAAGCAATGAATACATTGTTGTTAATGGCTGTTTTCTATATTTGCTCGTAAACTGTCCAGCATTTTAGTATAAACCTTAAAAATAAAAAAATGCTGCATTTTATGAATACTATTAACTGTTCATGATCCACATCAAAAGGAAAGGGAAATACTGATGGAACCACAGTCATTTTACTGTCAAAACCTTTGTTTTCTTGAAGTTAAATAACTGAATAAAGTAGTGATTCAACATTTATTTAACCTATTTGAAACCCAGAAAAGCTTGAGAATGTGAAGCCTGGAGTCTGGCTGTAGATAACATTCAGCTTCCTATTAGCAAGACTTGCTGTTGCCTAAAATACAACACAGGGAACTGAAAAGCCTCTTATGTAACTTAGCGGAAAGCCATTGTAGGCTTGTAATTTCCCATTTAAACAGAGTGTTGGCTCAATGCGAACATCTAACATTTTAAAATATAGAACCTGTTGCAGGATGCAAAGCTGTCAAATGTAATTGTTAAAACTGAGTAACAAGACGTTCTGCTAATGAGTAAGAAGCCTGATGCTCCTGTGAATTCATGTCAGCACGCCACACTGATATTATAAAGATCAAATATGAGAAATGGTGTACTCACGAAGCAGAGGCATCCTGTTTCCAGAGCTGTTGTGGTGGACGTGCATGTTTTCTGGAGGTGAAGCTGCTCTCAGTCTGCAGGACTCTCCCATCCAGGGACACAACAGAACACGTCTTAGGGATTAACTCAAGCTACATATAGATGAGGCAGAGTTATTCTGAGGTGGCAGGCCGGCTTGCCATGATGACAAACAAACACAATGTTCTACACACTGCTGCCATGCTACTCCGTTTTCCTCCTTATCTATCAGTGAGATACAACTCATGAGAAATCTGCAACATCATAGCTACCACACAGTATATGAAGAAATCATGATTTTAAGAATTCATGATTTTGAGTTGGGCTGTTTTTCATTGCAGTTGTGTCTTAAATTAGAATTAAGACAGAATAAAGAGTACTAAAGCAGAATGGATATTTGTCAAAGGAGCAAGAATAGCCAAATATTTAACAGCCTTTAGCAAAGTTTTCTCTTTATTGATACATCAAATGTAAATATTAAAGTAAAAAATGTAATTAATTACTTTTTCATTTCAGGAATTTGGCAGCCTTCATGTCGTTTGACAGTTGTGTTTGGGAGCTCTTCAAATTCGCAGAATGACTAAAGACAGCAGGATAAGATACACATCTAAACTGAATACAGTTTTATATTTTCTGCTGATGCATAAAGACGTCAAATTAGTCAGTTGGAGACACAAACTAAGCCTGCAGGCCTGTTGTATGAACGCCAAACCCTCTGATCCGCGAACCACTGTGCGGTGGCGCGTTTTCCCACGCTCCTGGAACGCAGCACACGCTGCTGGGACAGAGGCTCCGGGCGTCCGGGGGGGGGGCCGGATCGGGGGACCGGATCGGGGGGCCGTCATGTCCGTCCGGGAGCAGCTTAACTCCGGGGTCTGGAGAACCAGAGAGCTGCGAGAGCTGCTGGAAAACGAAGAACAAATCAACCGCATCGTCCGCTGCAGCGAGAAGGTAAATGGTAAATGGAAAAATAAAAATAAATAGCTTTAGGCTACTAATTTCACAGTGCAATAAATCAATTAATACAAATCCAAACAAACAAGTCATGCGAAAACACATAAAGATTAAGTAGATCAAGTTAACGTCTCATCGCAAGTCATTTCATGATCAATTATGCAGATAATTGATATAGTTACTAAACTATTAAGTATTATTATTTCTAAGATAATTTAAAAAGCTTAACATATATTGTCATCTGCTTATTAATCCACCAATGATTTCTGCTCAATTGTTTATACTAGTGGGCTATTTGATTCACTTTGAATTATTAATATTGGTTTTCAAATTTAAAAGATTTATTTTCCAATGTCTCTTGGAGCATTGTTTTAAAATTAATTATAGTGAAGTATTATTCACATGAAGGAAAGTGGTTCATTCTTGTATCTGAGGTTAATGTTAGAAATTCCCCTTAAATAGTTATCAAGGTAGTGATTGTTATGAAGAATATTTTATAATTCAAAGCTAGTTTTTACCTGTTTAAAGACTGAATTTGTCTCATCACAAGCAGAGGCACGACATGGCAGGAAGACAAAACTTCAAATCAGTGTGGATTATTATTTTCCCTTCAACATAACTATTTCTGACCGGGTTCATGGTTTTGGTCATTGTTAGTTTCAAAGGCTGCAGTGGGCTGCTGAGAAGATGCTGGTGTCAAATAAAAAACTGGCAAAAGACAATCTCTCCCAGAAACCAAAACTTAGAGACGCAAAGTTGCTACTTGCAATGAAGTACAAGGAGCTGGAAAAACTCAGAAGCCTCGTTCAGGCCAAACAGGAAAGACTCGGTGAGATTTAAACTACAGATACCGTCTACAAATACTGCCGAAGGGGTTTAATGGTCGTTCTGAAACGTTTAAATCTTCTTTTTTAGCAGAAAAATACAGTATTCGTCAGGTTAAGGCGTGCCTTGTGCAGAAAATCAGTCACACGGAGCAGCAGTTAGAGGTAAGAAAGGGCTTTCTTGACTTGAACGAGTCAAAACATCAGCCTGTTTTGAGATGTCTTATTGTTTAATACCATAACATAAATGTGGCCGTTTCTTAACACAAGATGTTAAGGTGATGTGTTGCACAGTGTGTTTTCTCTCACAGCTGCTGTTCCAGAGGTTTTCAGAAGGAAAGACAACACTGGCCGATTTCTTAGACTCCTTTCTCAGCTCCCAGAAGCTGCAGCACACCCGGCTGGTTCTGGTGAAGAAGCTGCAGGAGCAGATCCGGCTCCAAGAAGTGCCCGTTTTTCCCGCGCGTGTCCCAGTGGGCTTCGCCGGTCAGATCCAGATGCAGTTCAGCGGCCTGACCTCGGCCGTCCTCCTGCCCGCCTGCTGCCTCCCCCCGGTCCTGCTGCCGCTCTGCCCCCACGCCAGCGCCGCGCTGCAGAGCTCCCAACACTCCCAACACTCCCAGTCTCACCCCGAGGACCCGGGGCTCCCGCCCAGAGGACGAGGCTTCGGGCGGTCAGCGAGGCCGGCCCGCCTCCAGCCTCTGGAGGCCCGGCAGAAAAAGCGCCAGCAGCCCTGAAATCTTATTCTGATGTCTAATAAAAGCTCATCTTGGGAAGTTTCACTATTTTTCTTGAGCATTATATCATCATCTGTCTACAATTTAAACCATTTAGTGTAACCCTTGTGATGAAATGCAACTATTCAGGTGTTAAAACCATTTAAAACTAATTTCTGCTGTGCTTTTCGTTCCCTTTCTGTGTGTGTTCATGTTACGCTTTGTGCATGTTAAATGTGATCTATGTAATAAAGACCTGAATTTACACTATAGACAGATTTTCTTAATGACCCCCCATCATATTATGTCAATTGAGAACTCCAAATTTCCCCTAGGGGTGTGTGTGCTTGTTTGTCTCCGTGATGATGGACAGGTGAGTTGTCCATCATCACGTAGGGTGACAGTTCAGGCAGGAACACACGCGTGTTTCCTCTGATGTGAAATGGAACCCGACACTCGATAGCTCCGCTCATCTGTTTGCAGAGACTCCTGCCAACGTCAGCCAAGGAGCACAAACAGCTACTGCCCCCCTTCTCCCCCATCCATCCTCACTTTTACCAACAAACCCCTTAGAAACACAGTCAGCCTTAGTCCTGAAAAGTCCCACACGTGCTCAGCCTCTGTGTGTTTGGACCTAACCCACGCCGACCCAAGCATAAAGGAGCCTGGCGCTACAGGAGCTGATCAGCAGGGCGGGGCTCGTTCACCTGCTTTTGTCGAGCCCGCATACTTCTGTTACATCTTTGTCAGCAGCCTCTTTTGTCCTGCAAGACTCAAATTGGGCAATTTACTTGTCTGTCAGCTCGCTGTTTTGTACTTTTCACCTCGGTCACGTCTATGCCTCTGCATTGTTTGGCACTGAATGGCACGGAGACCTAGAAAATGGAGAAAAGATATCGGATTCGGATTTAAAAAAAAGAAGGTGCCACGCACTCTGCATCATATCTGGAATGGGAAATCTTTGTTTGGCTCTGGTCTCACAACATGGGGGTGCATGAACATAACATTGTTTCTTGGAAGTTCTAATGCGATTCCAGGCCGTGTTTCTGTAACAGCATCCGGCTGTGACGCAGATATGTAGTGTCCCGCAGTCAAAACCACTAATCAACGGGGATCAAGGTTATGCAAATCCTTTAAAATTGTTTAAACCGTAAATGAACTTTTTTAGGACGTTTTTATTGGTAATGAATATCTCATGGATGTCTTTTAAGTGTCTTTTTTAATACAATCATACAAAGCACAAGTAAAATGGTCACACACATAAGTCCACAAAGGTGAAAACAAGAGAGACCTGAAAATATTCAATGAAGAATAAAGCTAGGTTAAGTTTATGAACCCAAAGTACCGAGACTCAGAATCAGAGAGTTTCAGAAAGTTATCAGAGGAGAAAAAAGGCCTGTAAAAGACATTAGAAAACACCTTCCTGCAGACTAACTGTGGCATTATTTCTCAGGACGGACGGCTCCAGCTGTCAGACGGGGGCCTGGGGGGGGGGACTCCCAGGACTGCTGGAGCCCGGTCACTGCTCTCTTAATCTGCTCGTAGCTCACGAACATCACGATGTTCCACGAGCCCAGACGGAGAAAAGAGGGCACGAAGCTGCGAACAGAACAGAAGGAGGTGATGAGTCGAGGCTTTGGGCCCCCCCGGCCCCCTCACGGTCCAGCCCACTTACCCCTTATAGAAAGCAGAGGGCCCCTCTTTGACCAGCATGGTCAGGGCGCAGTTGATGGCGCCGCCGTACTGCCCGGGCACGGAGTTCATGAAGCGCGTCTTGACCACGTCCACCGGGGAGGCCACCACCGTGGTGCAGAAGCCCGCCGCGAAGGCGGCCGTGAAGTGGCACGGCGCGCGGTCTGGGAAGGCCACAGCGGCCGGTCAGGACCGGGACAGACCCACACAGACCCCACCCACCCACCCACCTGTCATCAGGTTGTTGTTCAGGAGGGACTCTTTGATGATGTCGTAGGTCACCAGCTCGGAGCAGTTCACGATGGCATTGCGAGTTATGTTTGGAAGGCAGCCTGGAAGAATGGGATTTAAAAAAAAAAAGTTTTTGACAAATGCAAAAAGACTGATTAAGCACGGCTTGTTTGGAAGAGCTGCTGGAGAGCGAATCGCATTTGATGTCTGCCATGTTATTTCTAGAACAATATCCTTTGGACAGAAGAGAGCAAAATGTAGTTTGAGTCCCACAGCATAGCAAACAGCTCACAGTAACTCTGGTGCATGGCGGTGGAGGACTGATGATCTGGGCTTTTGCAGTCACAGAATCATTCATCTAGGCATATCGAGTCATCAGGTACAGGCTGAAGCAATATTTGAAATAAAGGGAGACCAATATTTTTCAAGAACATTATGAAAAGAATGTTTGACATTATAGATGAAAACAATGATTTCAGCTTATCACTACAGGTGGTTCCATAATAATCACTGGATTATGGGACATTATTTTTCAAACATTTCTTTTGCATTTTGGCTTCAGTTTTGTTAAATAAAAGATGACACTGTGATGTGCAATTTGTCCATTTGGGAGTTTGTTTCTTTTTCCACTGTCAAACTTCTTTTAAAAAAAACAATCAAGTACTGAACTTTTCTCACTTGACCCACTTTCCCACTCTAGAATATATCATTGTATCTTCATTGTAATATAGAGAGCAGCCACTTTGAAGAGCAGTTTTGGTCTTTGATATCATGACAGCTGCTGTAGTGAGAGACAACCAGCTAGGCAACAAGACTTAGAAATTCAAACGTCTACATTTTGAAATACCTTTCCAGAGCCCTCTCACGCCCTCGTCTCTGGCGATGGTCCTGTAGGCATCGATGGTGCTGTTGTATCTCTGGGCAGAGCTGCTCTCTCGCAGTCGGACCTGCGCCTGGAACCGGACTTTCACCACGTCAGTGGGCTGGGCGAAGGCCACCGACATGGCCCCCGTGGTGCTGCCCGCCAGCAGCCGGGTCCCGAGTCCAGCATCTGACACACACAACCGGCCACAGGTTCACGTCTGCCGTTCGAGAGGCTGGATCAAGTTTCCACGATCATAGCCGCATCGAGCTCAAAATATGTGGTCAATAAAACCCGGTGACATGTTCCATCCTGCATTTCCCGGGAGTCTACAGTGCCTTTCAAACACGAAATGTACAGAAAGTACTCAGCTCGATGCGTTTATGTCATGTCTACTGGATGGGAACGAAAACCTGCTCAGGAATGTACAGCTAGTGTTGCCTGTGTTTTACAGGTGGGCCCCGAGTCACCAGGAGCAAAACAAATATGTTTTCCCTGCTAGAAAGAGGAACCTGACCTGTGCCCTACATTGTGCAGAGGTTTTCTGCAAAACAAGTTCAGGCCGCTCTTTGTGTTATGAAAGTGTCTGGATTTTGAGGACTAAGAACATCTACTGATTGCAGAACTTAGTATTATTACTTATATGAAGATTTGTTTTTCAGTTAACAAGACAAGAAAAGATAGGGAATTATTAGGGGCTTGATCAAACTCATGTTTGTGTCTGATGTTATGTTTTCTGACACCTGAGGGCAGCATTTGAATGTCCCACCAAAAGGATGAAAAACAATTTTAGCTATTAGATCAAACTAACCAGTAAGTCTTTCTATTTTTTAAACATACCAACAATGCATGTCAGTTCTATTTTCAAGACTAATTATGGAAGAAAATATCAAAAGGCTAAATATCCATCGAAAACATTTTGCATCATTAGATTGTTAGATGATGATTAGTGATAGGCTTCAGTCCCCTGAGCTCAGAGGCTGTCTGCTGTAAACCGGACACAAACTGAGACGGGGGGGGCAGACCTACTCTCTGATCCGCGGGAGTAGAGCTGCTTCATGGTGTCGTACAGGCCGATGCGCACCGAGGCGAAGCACACCTGTCTCTGCAGGCCGGCCACCAGCCCGCTGTACAGACCCCGGGGGCCCTCGCCCCTCACGATGGTGACGATGGTGCCAAAAACACCCCTGTAGTTCGCTGGACGACTCCCTGGTGAGGCTTTGGATTCACCTTGGATCTAAGGAAGACCAGAGTTCACATATTTATTTTTTGTTAAAGTCTCTGATCTGGGATCTAATGTCCGTCATATATTTTGCCAACATAAGCTGCCTCGAAATGTATTTCCCACGGGAGCTTATCCATCCATGAATGAATGGTCTATAATGGAGCCAGATAGCTGACTTAGGGCCACACTGAGACACACATGGGTCACTTTAGATGATAACACAGCTTGTGTGTTAAGGAACATTGTGTGACCAGAGAAATTGGAGAGAATACCAACACACACTACCAAGTTTGGCCACATCCCCTTACTCAGATGTATGGAAAAGTGTGTCCAAACCTTTGAAAGCCAGTACTCACAAGATACATAACTATAAATACGTTTTTTTAATTATTATTTTTAATCTGGGTGATTTTTTAAAGTCACAATAGACAAAAAAGACCAAATAGACCCTGGATGGCTGAACAGTTGCACCTGGCCCCATTTTTCCTGATAAACGTTGACGTCATCGTTTTTAAAGTGACAAATAAAGTGTGGGGGTGGGGGGGGTACGTTACGGGCTTCCATCTAAAGGACAAGATAACATAAAGTTGATGCTTTACAACTTTTTTTGGGAGGCGGCCTGAAATTTGCGGCAAAGTAAGAGAACTTCTGACCTGCAGTCGCACTTTGGCGGTGTCCAGAGGAAAGGTGACCAGGTCGGCCACACACCCGGCTGTCCCAGCTGAGAAGACCCGGACGGCCACCGTGGGCACCAGATCGGCGGGTCCCCCTCCAGTCATGATCGGTACCCCCCCCCCCAAAGATTAAGATAATCTCACCGGGAAGAAGTCAGGCATTCCACACAGTCAGCTAAAACCACCGGACATCGTACCGAGATCAAACTAGAAAAGCCTTAGTCAACTTTCCGGTAATAAAGTTTGTCTTTTGAAAGCTATGAGCTCCAGTTGCGCCATTACACGATGGATGAGCACCTAGAATGGCACCGATGTGAAAAGCTCTGGGGGCAGAGCAGCCGGGACCCAGCTGACTGCAGGTGGAGCAGATGACTGGTTCCAGCTGCGCACCGCCCCGGTCAGACAGACCCACAGACAGACCCACAGACAGACCTACAGACAGACCCACAGACAGACCCCCCCACACCCCACCCCCCGGGACGCGATGTTCAGGCTGCAGACGCCTCATCTGAGGTGTGTCTGCTCTAAAGCCTCCTGGGCACCCTGTTCGGGTGGGACAGGAGTCAGTTCACGGTCATCTGATGGATTAGTGACCACTGGAAACGAGACGGTCAGCGGTTTTAAGGCCCCGGTAGCCCCGTACCCCAAACGGCGGAACCGGAGCAGCGTCAGATAAGCCTCCACGTCTGATCCAGGAATCCAGGAAGTTAAGGACAGAGTTTCTTATCTCAAGTACAATAAAGACCGACTTAATGTGTTGTTGATCTTTATTTCTTTAAGCATGTTTCTGTTTTATGGTGCTTTTCATTCGTCTAGATTCTAGACGTGCATTTGTTTTTTCCTCCATACATATTTAGATTAATCTCACGCCAAAGAAAGAAAACGACTCAAGTTTTGAAAAACCATGTAAATTAATTTATTTATAAAAATACAAAATATTCCACAGGGTGTCCATGATAGCTGCGGTCTGGAGTCGACCGGCGGACGCTGCTAGTCAGACTCCTCGCAGTTGGCTGCAAATATTTTTGCGATCCTCTCCGTCTCTTTCCTCATGGATGAGGGGGACATGTCGGGACAGCGTGGAGGAGCTCTGCGAGGGGGGGGGCTGCGTTGGTCTGATGGACTCTGGCTCTGCAGAACAACAGCACAAACAAGAGTAAAAGATCTGTAAAAGTACAGAGTGTTCCCAAAGGTGTGAGCACAGACACACTGCTGTGTGTTTAAGAAATGTGATGAGTCACCTCTCCCCAAAACAGCCCGTTCTTCGGATACCACTACAGTAAAAAGATCTACTGATATGAGGCACGTGAAAAACAACCCTCAGATCAGGATCGAGTTCCAACTGGTTCCTTCACACCTGACGTAGTGGGCGTGCCGGATGGTTTCCCAGCATGCTTAGAGACAGATCGCTATTGTTGACATTTCACCTGTATTCTACAGTTATTGGTGTCTCGATGAGCTGACATGATTCTGTTGTTCCTGTTTCCATTCTGTTGTAAAACTAGTTGACTCAAGTCATTCTGAGAGCTGGACTACGGAGCCCATTAAGTTATCAGCGCTGTTGTTTGGATGGATGTTTACAATACCGATATTCAAATGAGCTAGAACTGTTATGTACACATAATTAGATTAACAAAAAAACAAAACAAACAAGCAGCGTGCCTGTGGCAGATTTCAGTGTGACTGAGAGCAGAAACTAACCGGGTCGCTGCAGGCGTGGGAGAAAGAGGGAGCTAAGCGGATGGCCCTCAGTGACGCCTCCAGCTGTTGAGGGGGGAGGAAGAAATTGGGGACCTCGACCGGGGCGGAGCTTAATGCAGATTGTTAAGAAATAAAACAACAACAGCATGTGGACAGCATGGTGGAACCAACAAATAGGTAATGAAAGATTCACAGGGTGAGGTGGATAAAGAGTCCTGAGCACAAAGCCATCTGCACCACAAAAACTAATGAAAAGGAGCAGGAACACACAGAAAAATACATCAAATCAGCAAATGCAGGTCAAGGATACAGCTGCAGCCCTGCTCCGTGGTTATCCCGATGCCCTGATGCATTGTGGGTGCTGGGGGTGGGCTGTGTGCAGGCCAGTGGGGTGCAGACCTCTGGGCTCCTGCTGGGGCTGCTTGCTTCCATTCTTGGGGACTCTGGCGTCTTTTCCTCGTCTCTTTCGGAGTCTGAGGCGTCTCCTCCTTTACAGCAGCCACACTCACCACTTCCCTCGTGCTTCCCATCCGAGTCGCCAGTTTCCGGATTTACCTCCTTTCTTTCCGGCCCCTCACCCTCACTCAGATCGGACTCCCCCAAAGCTTCCATGCTCTCCAGAGAAACCAGATCTGGTTCTGAGAAAATGCTGGTCCAAGGGCTGGTTTTGTCCGTTAAGGAGGTCACTTCATTCAGAGGCCGCGGCTTCACCACAACCTCGTCGTAATCCTCATCTTTCTCGTCATCATCGTCAGCTTCCTCGTCCCGCCTATAGGCTCCCTCCTCTTCACCCTCTTCCTCAGAGAGGTCCAGGTTGGTGCTTTTCCCGTGCTTTTCTCCCTCTGGCTCTGAGCCTGCGGGGCTGTCAGAGCTCTCTGTGCTCAGCGATGGCAGAGGGGACACAGCGTCCACAGCGTCCTGGTCCTGTGTGTTTGGGCTGGAGATGCTCTCCGGGAGGATCTGAGGGCTGTTCTGCTCCGCAGGCGAAGCTGCTGAGCTGCTCTGTCCGTTAGAGGGAATGGTCTCCAAGGGATGTTCTCGTAGACCTGAGCAAACACATTAGTTATTAATCAGTTAGGAATCACAAAGAGAAAAAATAAAAGTTGCTGCATGCTCAAGAAATGTGCACCATTTTACAGATGGACCTCTAAGATTGAGAAACGACTTGTTTTGAGCTCACCGCTGATGATGTTGTTGACTTCTCCCACTAACTGATTGGACTTGAGAAGCAGGTGACATGCATCAGTTTCTGAGTTCCTCTGCGCCTCAGGCTGGGGGTGGCTTTCCTGTTCTGTCACAGACGGGAATGTGGGAGTAGAAAGCTTCCTACTGAAGTATCTCTGAATGTTATCGAGCTCGCTTAGTTTTTTCCTGTCAAAACAGAGTCACAGTCAAGCTATCAAACAGTCAAATTCTGTGGTTAAAGCAGACAAAAGTCCTATTGGAATACCTGAGGGATGAAAATAAGAGTGAGCTGGAGGGGGTGATGTCATTGGCTGAGCTGTTGCAAACGGGGTGAGACGCCTGTTCCTGCAGATTCTGATGGTAAAGGCGTACGTTGTCCATGTGCTCAAAATGACGGTCACCCTCAGTGGACCTAGGACAGTTTTCATAAAGATGGATTCATGCACAGGCAGACTAAATCCATCACCATAAGAGGTTGACTTAAAAGAGTGAGAATAACAACCTCTCAGAGAACAGCCTGTGTGCGCGGCTGGGTGAGGAGATCTGCTCTGGGTATCTGCTGATGTGGGAGGGAAAGCTGCTGTACAGGGCTGTAGTTTGGTAGCTAACAGGAATGGTCTGGAACAAAGTCTGAAAACCAAATGATTTCTGTTTAGTTTTTTTCAAAGTCTAAAAAGGACACTGCATGCTGGGAATAAAACCGCCGGCCCTCTCACCGATGAGTTTTTGGCAGCCTCGTCAGGCCCAGTTCTTCTCTGCCTCCGCAGGTCATGGACTCCCCTCAGAGGAGTGATGGACACTTTAATCTGGCCGTGACACTGACCGCTGAAGTCTGTGATGTTGTACCAACCACACACCGACTGGAAGCCACACAGCAAAGGGGAGAGGTCTACAGAGGCGAATCCAATCACTCTCTCCAATTCTGTGGATGAAAACAACAGAAAGGCCAGTAAGAGCAGGAGGAAAAGCATCAGAAAAATGAGGCAGAACAACTTCCTGTACCTCCTTTGTGCCAGACTTTGAACACAAGAGATTGTTGCGGATCAACAAGGAGCTCCTTCGAAAGTCTGAAAATGGGACACAGAGACGTGAGATGCTGGAAAAGCGGAATCGGTCTGAGTGGAGCTCTGTGACGGAAGCGGACCTGCACTCATGCTGGTGGTCCCACACTGGACAGTCGGTGTTGGCCACCACAGCCGTGGACACTGGTTCAGGTGAGTCTGCAGTCAGGTAGGAAACGCAGCAGCATGGGGACACTTCGCTGCGCTCTGCCAGAGGACAGCCTGGAGGACAGACACATACAGGTCTTAATGCCGTGTATTTAGAAATCAGATGAAAAATATGAGACGATTGTAAAGCAAACCTTTGAGGTTGAGGTGCATGGCCTGGTCCACTGCCACGGTGGCAGGGAAGGAGTCCTCTGAGCTCGTTTCTGCGAGCTGTGGAGGCGTGACGTCCTGTGTGGATCTAGAGGACTTTTTCTGATTTCTGCTTTGTGTGATATTTTTGGGGTTTTTTTTAGGGGACGAAGCTGGATCATCTTCTTCAGCCTCATCTGAGATGAGTTCCTGGTCTTGAGCGTCAGAGTCCACCTGGACAGCCGGTCCAGCGCGCGGTCCGGTGGGAACAGAGGCTGCCGTCAGAGTGATGTGCACCCTGAGGGCGGCGCCCTGCAGATCTGTGGCCGAGCGCATGAACAGCGGGTAGACGCCTGTGAACACACAAATCTTAGTACACACGGCAGAGCAGGCACGATTTCAGTGGAGCGGCGATGGACTCATCACCGATTTTATTGAGAATTACTAACCACTCAGAGTCAGCTTGCACTTTGGTGTTTTTGCAAGAGAGGACAGATCCACGAACGCTGAGCCCACCAGTCGATCCGAGTCGCTCGGCCTTTTGGTCTTGTTTTTCATAAAAGTCACCCAAACTTGCACCTCCAGCTTTTCCTCTCGCAGATACCACCGTAAAGGCTGAGAGCTCATCATCTCTATGGTCCTACTTCCTTCAAAACTCACTGTGGCCTGGCCGTCCTCACCCCCCTCCTCCACACAGGGGTGCTTGAGCGGGGAGCAGAAGGCACTCTGGTCGTAGAACTTGTACCTGAAGTAGCAGTAGGTGGAGCGCTGGAGTTCGGTGAGACCAGGCAGAAGCAAACAGTGGACAGGGATCCACGCTTTGGGCATCGATAAACTGACAGAGAGCTTCCTCGTGCTGTCCTCCTCCCAGGATTCTTCATCGTCTTGCAGCGCAGCCTCACTGAGGGCCATGTCCCAGCCCAAGCCCCGAGCGGCTTTGATGGCTCTCTCCCTGTCCGCGTGGTGGGCGAAGCTGATGGAAATCTCAATGCCCCCGACCAAGATGTGCTGCTGCTGCTGAGAGGTTAAAAATAACCCAAACCAGCCAGAAATGCCTTTTGGTTTGGAAAGAGAGACGCAATGACTTCAGTTAATAAAGAGAAAAGTGTAAATTGACTAAATGCAAGTAAAAAGTCAAACATACCAGTTCTTTTATGGATGAGATCAGCCAACGGTATTTTCACTGTGCCCAGCATCACCTCTTTCTGTCTGGAAACATTTGCTGACACTGCAAACAGACCAAACTAATATCAAACGGATAGAAACTCAGAGCTTTATTAAATTATGCCTTTCTGTTGTGTTTAGCTCTACAGCAGAAGAGGAGGCAATTGTCAATTCACCGCAGTGTTAAATGGAGCAAAAGAGGCTTCTCTGACCTTTTGGATCGTCGCGGTTCCAGACAGTGAAGACAGCATCTGACTGTTCCAGCTGCTCTGCCAGGCTGTATGTTTCTCCGCTGCTCATGTGAAGCAGCAGATCACAGGACACCTCAATGTGGTGGTCAAACTCTGGGCAGAAGGTCCTGGCCGTGGTGCGGGTATATCTTGTTTCGCTCTCAGGCAAGAAGGAAAGCTGCACTGTGACGAAAGGATTCAGCCCGACTCCGACAAAGTGGTTGAACTTTTCCTCTTGTTCTGATAGTACCCTGAAAGGGACGAACCACAACAGGAAAACTAAAAATGCTGGACTCTCACCCACAAATATAGAAAGACAAAAAGTAAACTGAGTACGGTGAGTAACGGTGCTAAATATGTTTCCATTTGTTAATCCCAAATGTTTTTAAATGCAAACTCTACTTTGCAGCTCTAAAGTGATAAACTCTGTTACAGTCAAACTGTAACACCCTGTCCACAGCTCAGACTAACTACTTACCTTGCTGCTGCCTTCAGACCAGACGCCCGGTGCACTTGAACCACGAGTGTCACAACCTGAGAGGCAGCTCCTCTCCTGGACTGTCCTTCAGTCCTCACAGGCCCATGCTTGTATTTAATGCTCACATCCAGCAGTCCTGAGCAATAAAGCAGATCAGAACCACAATGTTAAGATTCTCAAAATATATCTTTCATCTCTTGTGTGTCTTTGTGTACCTGAAGGCTCTGGCTGAAATCCAGTGGAGCCATCGGTCCTGGGAGTCAGGGGTAGGGAGAACATTTGAGCCTCAACAGGATGCTGTCTCTGCATGGTCACCATGGCACAGAGTTTGGACAGTGGAAGCATTCCTCTGGCTACGAGCTGGTCTCTGACATTCGGATAATAATATCTGCAGGGACAAATTATCTTTATAAATAACTATACACATACACAGATATATATTTATAAAACACAACCAAGATAATGCTGTAAAACGGAAAATATACACAAAAGCTGAGTCAAAGGGCCTAGACGTGCTGAATGTGCCTCTATTCTCCCTAATGTGTGAAATATGCTGAGATGGAGAGGAACGTATCTCCTACAAACCTGCACCACACTTCAAACTGGACTCCTCCCCCACTGCTCAGACCTTGACTTGACAGAGAGCTGAGCAACAGTCTCTGGACAGGAACTCCTTCAGGAGCCAGAAGAACATGAGTCTCAGTGTGACCGAACACCGGGTCAGGGACACACAGGGTTGTGGTGGTGCGGAATGGCTTTAGCTTCATGCCTGTGAAGAGATTAAATCAAAGTTAGCCAGTATATTTGGGTGAATCGCACACTTTGGGTCAAACGTTTTTATACTTTAACGGTCTTACTGCTCTCTATGAGGCTCGGCTCCACCTTTGTGTCTGCCTCCTGACAGGGGAAGCTGTACTGCACATAGCAGTCAGCCTCACCCCACACTGTAGACTGCAGAGGTGTCAATCCACTGACCTTCTCCACCCGTATCACAAACATGTGCTCTTGCATGATTTCCACTTGTGCTGTTTGTACCTGGAAAAAAGCAAACAGTGGGGAAACAATGAGCGAAAGCACACGCTGTGTTTTCATTCTTAGAAAAAACTCAACACAAGTCTTTATTCAATATTTATACATGTTATGTAATACGAGTATAAAGGAAAAGTCAGACACTGAGCCTTTTCAGATAACATTAAGTTAAACATTTACCTGATTGCCACTAAAAGGTATATTCATTATGATCTCAATAACATTAGTGACATTTGTAAGTGATCATTACTGAAACAGTCTAGCAGCAAACATTTTCTAGTCAAATCGTTATGAGTCTTACACTAAAGGTTGGAGCAGTGCCGTCTTTTGACATAAATATTTAACACTAACCTTTGTCTGGGAATGTGGCTGATGATCGAGCAGATGAACTGGTCTCACAAAATGAGACAAAGACTCATACTCTTCATCTCTGCTGCGCTGAAGTGACACAATCTGTTCCCATCGGCCCATGGCCAAAACAACCCGCAGGCTTCCTTTATAACTGCCCGAGAAGACGTCAATGACAGGCATATAGTAGTCCACCCCTAAAACAGGATACTGGGCCTGCAGGAGGAGGTGGGTGATCTTGGGATCCCTGGAGGGAACAGTAGGATGTGTTATGTTAGTGGGGATTTTTGAGGATTCCAAGAGTCGAGTCATATTGTCTGGATGAGCCACAGCGCCTCCCAGAGGATAATGAATAAAAAAGTGGAGTAGTTTATCCGATGTGCGTCTTCTCTTTAGATATAAATAACAGACATTTTCTCACATAAATATGGTTCCAATAACTTACCGAAACGACATGTAGAACTGGTGAAGAGGTAATTTAACAAGGCCAAGGAGTTGATCTTGCCCAGAGCTTCCAAATTTCTGCCACACTTCAATCACCATGAGATTATTCTTCATTCGCTCAAGAAGTTTAGTTGTTAAGGCCACAGGTGTCACCTAGGTCACAAAAAGGGAGAAAAAAAGCCTGTTGTAACCTGGTTTGATGTTCCATATTTGTTTCAGCCTTCATTTGGCTGGGTATGCTGGATGAACTCAGGAGCACTTTAAAGCAAGATCTGGCCAGGATGGCAACAGGTGTATTGCATAACACCAAGCACAGAAATTAAACAGAAGAAAAAAACAAGTAACAAACGGGCCTACCTTGCCAACTCAGAGGAAGTCCAAAAATAAAGTAATAATCAAAGAAAGAGGTCAACCGGCTCTGGTGACAGAGCTCTGAACTAACCTGAACAAAGTGAAACGCTGGATCTGACTGACCCCAGCTGACAACAGATCTGGCCATCTCATCGCACCAAAACAACTTGCAGTTCAAGTAGATGTTAGGGCCGTGAAGGGGGGCAGAGCTGAAATTCTTCCCGTCTGGCACCATGAGCAAGGCATGCAGCAGGACCTCAGGGTCCTCCTCCACTTGCTGCCATGATTTAGGAGGGGACGTTCTAGTTCCAGGAGGAGAACTGGGTTCTTTTTGGATCTTCTGAGGAGTCCAAACATGCAGCACAGAGTCCTCTACAGAGTGAGCGGACGGCTGCTCCCTGCGGGGGCTCATGTGTTGAGATCTGGAGATATTCTCTCCTGCTGGACTGGGTGGAATTTTTGAAGATGGTGTGTCTCCCCAGGCCAGCTTTTTACTTTTTTCATTGGAACTTTTGCTGTGTGTTCCCAGTTCTAGAGACACCTGCAAATAAATATTTAAACTTTACTTGCAGTCAGTTGTGATCAATACTTCTTGAATTAAAAATAAAAGGGAAATACCTTGAGTGGGCCAATCCCTTGTGCCCCACTGCTGCCCTCTAAATTCTGCACAGGCAACAGGACAGACTGCCTCAGCTGGCTGCTCTGCAGCAGACAGCGCAGCGGGTGAGCTGCCTTTCCAACAGCAACAGGCTGCAAGTGGACAGACAACATCAGTTACAATACTTCAGATCTAGGAATCTGATCATTTAAGGATTAAAAAGAAAGAAAGGATCTCACTTTTTTCTGGTCACTCTTTCTCACGTAAATCTTGAACAGCAGATCAGTTTCCCACCACTTTGTAACTGTTGCTCTGTCAAAGTGGACAGGAAACACGGAAAGCTGGTGGAACTTCACAGCTACAAAATGGAAATAAAACAGAATAATGTCATCTCATCAAAAATCTAGACGAAGTCAGGTAAAGTGTTTAGATTTGTAGCAGAAAGACAGATTTTAACAGGTGCCACCTCCTCCCGTCATTTTACTGGAAACGGCTCTGGTCACCTCTCCATCTCCAGCCTTGTTACCATGCCGACCATGCTGAGTGGTAGTGGACGGAAACACATATTCCACAAAATAGGTGCTGATGAAAAAGAGAGAAGTCACCACATGCACTAGGTACAGGGATATAAAAAATGTGAGTTTCAAGTTGAATTTACAGCCTTTCAGAAGTTTCACTCACCACCTCCTGCTGGTTAAGGGTCGTGGAGGTTTTCCTCTGTTTGAGGTTTGTTTCGGTGAGGTGACAGTTGCTACACTTAGGGAGCTGACGGTTACTCTGGCTAACCGGGTAAAACTCAGCAGAGCCAGCTGCTCCTCACTGAGGGGAGGATCAAAGCTACCAGAACCATCTTCAGACTGCTGATGTCCTGAATTTAGACTGAAGATGACAAAAAAAATAGGTTAAAATCCCTTTAAATGACATAAGTAACAGTAAACGTCTGTGTTATAGCTAGCTTTTTGCAGCATTGTTTCTCTCCTAGTACCTTATCCTTTGTTTCCCATAGAAATTTCCCTTTAACTTTCTTTGGAAATAGCCTATTTTAATTAAATATCAGGTCCAACTACAGCACTTTGAATTTAAAATACACCCATAATAAAGAGAGTGGATTTCTTTCTTTTTTAACCTGGCTACCTTTAAATGTACATGCACTGTAACTCTTAAGGCTGTGATGCTTTAAAGGCATATGAAGGACCTTACACTTCACAAGTTTTGGGTGCAGACTGTGTCAGCTGATTTTCAGTCAAGGACATGGCTCCTCCATCTTTCTCCTCCGTGTCATCTGGTCTGGCATCTGAGATCTAACAGGAATATTTTTAATTAATCCAATGCCAGAGCTTTAAGTACATTAAATCTGTATTAGAAAGTAGACGGCTTACAGGAGTTTTGTAGAACAAATTTTCCAGTAAACTTAGATCATACAGAGGATCATTGGGCTCGCTATCTGCACCCACACTGCTGTGATCTGACAGAGATTCAGGAGAAAATCCTTGTACGTCCAAAAGAGGCAGTGAAGATGTGATTGAGCTGAATAAAATAAAAAAAGAACAAAGTCTTAGAAGAAAAGAAAAACTACTTTGATTCATTTAATCTTTGGATGTAAATCGAAACCCACACCTGCCAAGAAGCAGATCCACTGCCCTCTTGTCCATGTCGCCAGCACCATTAAATTCACAGTCAAGAGAACCATCAACGGGGTGCTTCAGGGCTGATTCTGCAAGGAGGATATCTTGAAGGAAAGTACCAGAGACGGAGGGTAACCTGCAGACACCAGGAGAAAATGTAGACACGCATTGTGAAATCAAAGGTCAATCAAGAAAAGAAATGTATTTACTTTTTAAAAAAACTGACCTGGCAGGTGGTTGGATGTTATCATTTGGGAGAGGCAGAGGAGCATCTCTGAGAGGTGGAGCAGAGTCTAAGTCACATTTCAAAGCTGACACCACCATTGCATTTCTAAGCTTGTTTCCACGCTCTATAATTACTAAGGAGAAAAAATAATGGATGCATGATCAGAGATAAAAATAAGACGGATGATATAAAATGTTACACTTATATTTGCTGCACTAGCAATGCTGCTGCTAACCAGAGATGATGTCATCAGTTGTTTCTCCGAGGCAAGACTTCTGAGCGGAGGGATTAAAAACAGTTTCAGTGTTGTGTGGTTTGTCTGGTACTGTGGTCTGATTCTTCATTTGTTCTTGTTTGTTATTCTGAAAATATAAGTGGTCTTTCCCCCTGAAAACAGCACAGCAAAATATACATGTAGATCACTATAGATCAGAGGACACACTGTTAGTATCTGACAACAGCCTGGTCAAACCTGGGTGTGTTTTCACCACTGCTCCCTGCTGATTCCTTCCCACTGCCAGCAGAGGCATGTCTGTGTACAGTCTGTGACGGGACATGCAGCCCATCCGTGCTCACGTCTGTAGCCGGAACAGAGCTGCTGCTGTCATAGGCTTCGGTCAGAGGCTCGAAATTCAGGGAAATCTATGGAGTTGGTAGAAAAGATTAAGGTGTAGACTATCTTCAGGGAACAACAAAGCAAACACAACAATGACGTTAAGCTTATAATTTGAATAATGTGCAACTGGAACTTAGGAAAACAACTTTAGAGTATTTGAAAGGTGTTTTGGGGTCATTTGACAATCAGCTTGAATTTAGGTAGCCTGTCTTATGATGGCACGATTGTGGATAATGAAAAAGAATGTCGGGTGTGTCAATCAGTGGCTGGCTGTTGAATCTTAGGATATAAATGGTAAGATCCAACCAAATAATGTGCGCAAAAGCAATTTCCAGAAACATACTCAAGTTCTTTGGTTTTTATGCATTTCTTTTTAAAATATATACAAATAAAAGCTCAATCTGAACGTAAATCTCCCCTCACCTGCAGCTCTCCCAGCTTCTGAGATGTTGGAGACACAAGAGTGTAAAACCCGCTGATTGGCTGTGACAGAGACAGCCGTGAGATGCCAGCGACCTGAGCCCGAGCAACAGGTAAGTGGTCTGGTTTTGTCAGAACTTCCAGCACCAAAGATCCCATATCTATTAGGAAACAATGAGTTAGGGATTACAATACTTCGGCAGAGCAAATCTCAGCCTCATCAGGGTGTATTTAGCTACCTGTAAGATAAGAAGTGAACTGTTTTGGGCCACAGCGGATGGGGAAGCGTGCTGTAGTCTTGATGATTTTTTGTGATAGCTTCGATCCATCTTTCGGGAAGAAGTGTGTTCCGTTGGATGACTCCCCCCACCAGCGCAGTCTGATGAATGTTTGAGCCGGAGGCTTGTGAACCGTCCATAACACACGGCTTATGGTCACACAGAGGAAGCATCTGAGCTGACCCTCAACCAGAGGAGGAAGGCTCGTAGAGACGGACACGTCACTGGGGACTAGAAGAGTTATGCTGGATTAAATTCTGAATTAGAAGTGCAGCTATGAGTGTTTCCTTTTCAGCATTTGCTTTCTAATATCTTTGACTATTTTCTGGTATATTGACTTGGTAATGATTAAAAATGATCGTATAAATTACCTTCATAGAGTATAAATATTAATTCAACTTACAGATATTACTATTAAAGTAATTCTTTACCACAAATTTCTATTTTTATTGACCTAAAAAGAAACAAGATATTGCATGACACGTTTTACAAAGATTAAAAACAAATGACTAAAATTGTCATTTCAATTCAAACCTACAATGAAAGCCCAAAGCCTGCACCCAATCTGCGATAACATCTTTAGCTGACATTCTCAGAAACATTTCACATTAGAATCAACAGCATGCAAGCTTAAACTACCCCACATAAGAATACAGAAACAAAGCAATTCAACTAACAACTGAATAAAAAGTATAATCAATTTATACCAAAGTGATGAATACCTACGGCAAAATAATGAACTGCTGTATTTCTAGCTTTACTTCCCTTTTTAACACCATACACTGCTTTAATGAGTATATGACATAAGTGCATGTTTAAAAACGTAGTTCTGGCACATTACTGATAACTTAAATCAAAGGAGAGCAAGCACACATTCGCTTAAACAGAGGAACTAACCTTAAGTTAGAATAAGCTAATGTGAAAGTGACAGCTAGCATTAACGGTTTCTCACCAAGAGCATAACATTAGCAGCTAGCTAAGCTAAGTGTACCTTTCTTTTTGTTGCTTCCAGCTTTGGCAGAATGCTTTCTGCTCTTCATCCCTCAGCTCATTCAACCCAGACTGTGAAAGACAGCCTGGCCGAATCATACTCTGAAGCCTCAACAGGCATGTTTAGTGTCACTCTCTTACGAACTAATAATCCGTTTGACAAGGCTAACTGAGCTGCAGATTCGTATACACACACAAGCGGCAGCGCGAAAAAAACTGTCTCCGAGCAACAAAGTACTTCAACAACTTCAGTACCGCTTCCGCTGCCGCTGAGTTAAACTGAGGGAGTCTGGGTAATGGAGTTTATTAGCGAAGTGGCAAAGCGTCAGGTGGCCATGCAAATTTAGATTTTTTTTTAGCACAGAATGTTGTAAAACAGAAGTTTAGTAATAATAATGGATGTTATTATTAATATTGTTAGTAATAGTATCATTTAAATGTCTATTGTATGTATGTATGTATGTTGTATGTATTAATTGTAGGAATAAGGATCCTGGCTTGAGTCTGGGAACCGTCTGAAGTTTGCATGCTCTCCCTGTGCCGATGGGGTTAATGTCGAGCTGAAAAGCTCAAATGATTGCTTTTCAGCAAAACCAAAAAGCTTTTCTTTTTGCATCACACTTTGAATTAACCTTTTTAAATAAACTAACTGGGTGTCTGACACAATCTATCTAGCAATTATTCAATATCTTAAGCATTAGGACAAAACATTACACCCATCAAATAATGACACAATAATTTAATATTAAAATAAAAAAAATCTTCTTTTTAATTGTTTTTTTTTTTTTTAAATGAGTGAAACAATAAACATGTCACAATTAACAGGTAAAACCACCAGCAGAGGGGAGCACTGATCTGTCCATCAGTGCTGCAGCTGAATACCTGTAAAGGAGTGCTAGTTTTTCTAAAAACTTAACTTTAATTCAGTGTATTACTATTATTATATTTTTATACATACATACATACTCACATACCACATACTTATATAATATATTAAATATAGTCATATCTAATATTTGATTAAGGGTATTACTACGTACTATATTTGGAACTTATATATTCTAATTGTATATTACATATTTACTTTGATATGTTTGAACATTTCCATCTGAAGATAGCTTGAATATGAAAATTGTTAATGTTTAAAATATAATTGTCCCAAAACAAAGCATCCCCATTATAAGAAGAAATATGTCAGATTTTGAGGTTGACAAGTATCATAGCTGCTGTAAAGTTTTACTTAAAAGCAGCCATATTCACAAACGATGATGAACTAAACATGATATTCATAAAGCTTATGCATCAAGCAAGGTTTTAAAAAATGTACACTCTCTGAAAGGTCAAGAACCAAAAGCTGTCATACAGTTAATGATCAACCCCTAAAGAGTGAGATGATGAGCACTGCATCTGCTGTCAAACTGCTTTTACTTCCAATTCAGTCAGACAAATAAAAATCTCTGTCAGTGCTGCAGGCACCAATCTGCAGCCTCTCTGGTTTATATTTAACAGACTCAGACCTGTAACATGTTGATTTTGCAAAACCTTTGCCAACTAGTGCACAAAACAAATGGATCACAAACACCACAGTGAGATCAACAGGCTGCAGCGATTTGTCCTATTTATTTATTCTTAAGCAGGTTTAAATAGTTTTCCTATCAAATATAGACTTGGTGAATGAAGCCTCATTAAACTTCACCATCACTCAATAATTCATAGAATGATTCATATATTATATCAACAGTGTAGCTGTTTCATTCATTATGATCACCCTTCTGTTCAGCTTCAAATGACCTGTCTGAACTGTTGGTAAGTGACAAAAAAACCTTTGGCAAAACACTTTTCATTGCGTTTAGTTTTAAGGTTGTGTTTGCATGATTTTTACTTGCTAAAATCAACCTGAAAAGGGACACTGTCATGATAAATTGTTAATTCAAATTGTTGCAAAAATCCAGTTATTTTCATTATGTTATTTCAGAATTGAAGAACACACACATTTAAGAATCTAACAAACTAGAAAATCTAACTAAGCAGATGAAAGGAAAAACAACTTCACATTTTCACAAAAAGGGCAATTCACATGTTCTGATCCAGTTTCTTTTATTCTTTTTAACATTTGGGAAATAACTTTTGTAAAATTAAAATAAAGTGTTTTAGTTAATACGCACATCTGTCTGTTTGTCATCCATATAAATTATTTTCTCCATTTTCAAGCACAATTTCAACTTAAAAACCTGATAACTGTCTATGTAAGTTTGTGATTATAGTCGTTTACCATCATTATCAAATGATCTCTGACATCTTGTGCTAATGCTTGAGGAAAAAGCAATCTGATTAGGTTTAGGTTTGATTCTTTTTGAGAAGCTGAGGAATTTTTCCCTTATGTGGCCTCTGAGGCTCTGATCTCTGAAACCGTAGATGAGCGGGCT